AAAACATTCCTAGCCATATCATTGTAGAACCATGAGTTTGATATTTGAATTGGTAAAATGATAATCAATTTCTAATAATAAAAAAAGAAAAATAAATTGGACATTGTCAATTATAATGACAGTTCCATCTGGAATGAGACCATTAGAGGCAAGCTAAAACTTTTAAGAGTGCCTAAAACCTGATTGCAATTCAGTACCTTGTTTCTTTGAAGAGTGCTAAGAGGGGCATCTTCCCAACATTCTTCCTTGGAGAGAAATCATCAGCTGCAGCCATCACAAGAAAGAAAGGCCTTTGGAATTGAAAGCAAAACTGATTGGATCAATACCAAAGTTCACTGATGTAAATTTTAAACTTCCTTGAAATGAAACACACAGCCTTTGTAATTTTCAAAATCGCCATTCATCATCACTATGTAACAAAAAGAAATTCTTCGAGCCAGACAATTCTGCTTCCAAAGAGTGCCAATATGAGGAAGCCTTCAATAACAAGAAGACACAGATAATGAATTTTCAAGAATGAAGATGGTTATCCAGAAATCCAAGGAAAGCACGCATGCCGCCATAGGCAATGGACAGATATTCCATTTGGACAGGAAGCCATTTGAAAAATTTCTACCCCAGATGTTGCATGGAAATATGAAATGAACCTCCATCAGTTCTTTTTAGAGGCTCAAAAATCCAAGAGGAATATATTATATAAACCTGTTCTTTAAAAAAAGACATGCAAGAAGGCCGACAACAGAGTCACCAACGAGGAGATCTGAAGAAAAGGGCAAGAACAGGTCCTTGATAATTGCCATGCAGGTTCATTCACAACCACTGGAGTAAAAATGTCAAAGTTTACTTTCAAACGAAAGGTGTTAATGATTTAGAATTAGAATACGAAATTAACAATATAAAAAACCGAACAGATATAAGCAGGGATTGACATTGACGAAAACAAAAGGGGATTTGCTCAAGTGATTTAGATCCTTCAAACAATGTCATTTAAGTACAAACAGTTTTAATGGTTATCCCAATGGTCACTCCATACATGTCACGCGTGTATACTGTCGGAAGATACATGTGGGATTAGTCTAGCCAAAAGTTCATGTCATCAAGAAAAAAAAGCGAAAAAGCTGAAAAGTTATGCTGTTGCATGAACCTGCTAAATCTTTATACCTAATCAAGTAAATGACAATATGATCATCAGCTAAAAGAAAATGCGTCAAGGTTTTACGTTGAAGGCAATTCCGGGAACCATAAGGGGAATAATATGGACCAACCGTGGAGAACAAGCGCAAGACCCCACCGGATTCTCCCTTCGTTGAAACATCGTCCCCAGGACCCCTGCCTGTTTCCTCCATCACATGCATCGGTTTCTTCAATTTTGGAAATATACTTTCTTTCTTCAATCAATCTATGTCTAATTTGTCGCCTTGGCAGATCCTTTGCAAATGTAATAGCTGTTTGAAGCCTTTTAACGATCCGTGTGTCCAGGAAAAATTCGTCTTCTCGCATTAAAAATGTTGCGTTATTAAATGAATAAACATAGAAATTAATGTCTATCAACAAACTTGTAAAGAAAATTAGGTAAAAAATATTTTAAAATTATATCATATTTATAAAATATTATAAAAAAAGATTAAAATTTTTTATTTTTATTTTAAAAATAATTAGGGCATTTTAGT